TACTCTGTCAGGGTGTGTCTAGACTACACCTCTCTGTCAACAGAGAGATGTAGATTAGGCACATCAAAATTGCCAGTGAAGCTGGGATTTAAATATTCTGCGCTTCATTAGCATAAACATGGCAGCCTCGTTTTTTTAAACTGAGTTTTTCAAAAAAACGGCAGTCTAGATGCAGATCTATCGAAAATAAACCATTTTGACAGATCCTGTATTCCTCAAAAAATGAGGTTTACAGGATCTGTCGAAAAAGGGTTTATTTTAGACAGATCCGCATCTAGACTGCAGTTTTTTTTCGAAAAAAACCTCGGTTTCAAAAAAGTGGCGGCCACATTTATGCTAATGAAGCGCATGATATTTAAATCCCGGCTTCATTAACAATTTCGATGAGCTTGATTTGCATCCCTCTGTCGACAGAGGGTTTCAGTCTAGACGTAGCCTCACATGGACACAATACTCCAATTGAGGCCTAAGCAGCGTGGAATAGAGCAGAACTACTTCTTGTGACTTGCTTGCAACACTCTTGCTAATACTCTTGCTAATCTCAGAAGGATGCCCACATTATTTTGCAACAGCGTCATGCTGTTGACCCATATTTAGCTCGTGATTCACTAGACCCCCTAGATTCCTTTCTGCAGTTCTCCTTCCTAGGCAATCATTTCCCATTTTGTACATTTGCAACAGAGGGAAGTCTAGACTACAGGGTTTTGTCAACAAAAGTGGACTTTTGTGGACAAAACTATACCTGCGTCTACACTACCGCCGAGTTCTGTCGACATAACATCGACAGAACTCAGCAGTTTTGTCGACGGTGGAAAACCTCATTCTACAAGGAATAACACCTTTTGTCAACAGAGTTCTGTCAACAGAAGGCGTTATTGCATCTCCACTGTCCTTTGCATCTACACTCTCATGTCGACAAAGCAGCTTGCCTTGTCGACAGAACTGGATGTAGTCTAGACGCTCTTTGTCGACAGAAGCTTTGTCGATGGTATCTGTCGACAAAGCCTCTGTTGACAAAAGCCTGTAGTCTAGATGTACCCTGATTGTCCATAGTGAATGTCACCCTAGCTACTTCATATTATTTCTCCAGTTTCTCCAATTTGTCCAGATCATTTTCACGTTTAATCCTATCCTCCAATGCGCTTACAACCCCTCCCAGTTTAATATTGTCCACAAACTGTATACATGTACTCTCCATGCTATTATCTCAATCACTGCTGGAGATATTGAACAGGACCAGACCCAGAACTGAGCCCTGTGGGATCCCACTTGTTATGTCCTCCCTGCATGACTGAACCATTGATAACTACTAGATGTCTGCATTTCCAAGTAAAATTTACTAACCAGATCGGTCTCACACACAAGGCTGGTCACCTCATTACCAGTAGCCAGGTAAAATTAGAAAAACCACTACGGTTTTGCAATTTCATTCCATACGCAGCATGGGCACAGCAAGCCTGCCCTGGTTCTGTGCAGCACAGTGCTGGTAGCTGATGCCACCAAAGCTGCCAGTCATCTGCAGCAGGAACAGAGGCATCTGAGTGTTTTGTAGATGTTCTTCTGGCAAATGAGTGCGATGATCCACTTTCAAATGAACATGGTTTTGAGTAATGTTGCTCCAAACTTGGGGTCTGAAACAGCCAAAACGGAAGCCGCAGACTGTTACCCTGAGCCGGGGGATTGTAGTTTGCAGAGATCAGCTACTTTTGTGCCCTGTCAGTGCTGAAGTTTGTCCGTTGGGTGACTGATAAGGAGGGATGGAACTCAGTCAGCACTCAGCATCATCCTGCCGAAGACACCCAAAGAAGTTGCCTCTCAACTGCAGAGCGCACAGTGTCCATCTGCACCCCAGCGATCACAGCACCAAAAGAAACCACAAGCCAAGAGCATGCAGCAAAGTAACCGCAGTGCACATCAGAGATGCCGGGGCGGTCACGTAATTGATGGCTGGCGACCAATTCCGCACAGTGAATTGGCGACTGAGCACCTGAGGAGGGTCCTAACACGATTTGACAAACTGATTCTGTAACTCGGTGGTTCTCAAGGTGTGGCCCATAGACCACAAGTGGTCCATGTCCATTGTGCAGGTGGGCCGCAGGCTCAGAGCTCCCCCCCGCAGCATGGATCTTATGCTGGCACTAAAACCACAAACCCATCTGCACGGTTGGAGCCCCTGTGCTGAGTTTCTCTCTGTGGGGGCGTTCGGGAGAGCCCTGAGCCTCACAGGCTAGATCCTAAACATGGGGGGAGGAAGTGGCTCCACGTGCTGCCACTGCCTCTCCCTGCAGCTGGAGGAATGGCAGGCGGCCCCGGCCTCTCCCTGCAGCTGGAGGAAGGGCAGCATGGGAAACCACTCGCCTGGAGGTTTTCCCTGCTGCTCCCATTGGCTGGAATTGAGGCCAATGGGAGCAGCAGGGAGTGGTGCTTGGGAACAGCGGGAGTTGCAGAGCCAGGGAAGCATCCCATCCACCTCATGCCCAGACCCTGCAACCCCACTGACTCCACGCACCCCCTCCTGGTGAGGCCCTGCACCCATCTCACTCCTGGACTCTCTCTCTCCTGCCCAGACCCACTCCACCCCAGCCTGCTCCTGCACCCAACTTCCTGGACACACCCCTCATCTCCAGCCCTCTCCTGTACCTCCCTGCTGCCCAGACCTCACACCCTCAGCCCTCTCCTGGACCCATTTTGTCATCGTGGGTGGTTGTCTTGTGGTCTGCGGAAACATTTGCATTGAGCAGGGTGGGACATGGCCCAAAAAGTTTGAGCTCCACTGCTGTAACCGAAGCCTCTGAACAGAAATGGCAACAGTAACGCCGTGAAAACTGAAGAGACAGGCTCTAAGGTTGGATGCAAGAAATGCCCTCTGAGTGGTGGGTGCCCTCTGCCTCCATGGAAAACGTCTCTAAATGTGGCATCCAATAAGGCTTCACTTGTAAAATTCCTCTGTGAATATATAGCTCAAGATGCGCCTAAGAGTGTAGGAACTCACCCAATAATAGGGATG